ATATATATAATTTTATATAAAACAATATTAAAGATATATTAGATTCATTTAAATAAATCAATATATTTATTTCATTGTTTTATACAAAGATTTTCCGAACTGCTTTCATCCGCCTACGCAACACATTTTCTTTTTGTATTAGGAAACGTAGTAATAGCTGGAAGCTTTTGCGCAGCTGAGGTAATTTTTCAATAAATTTTAGATAAAGTTTAACACTATTTGTCTTTCTATTTAGTATGATTAATAAAGTCATATATTGTTTAAGTTAATAATGGTGGACACTCAATTGGATGAAATTATTAGAATCCTTTCTTGTAATACTGCACTATTGCTACATATATTTTATCTAAGTTTGATGTCTCAACAAATAATCGATCATAGCAGCAAGTTTCAAGAAGTAATGTACGTATATAAAATAATAATTAAAATATCGAAAAATGATCAAACTGCGTCAATTTAAAATAAATGTATGAAAATCGCATTTGCAATTACAAAATATATGTATTTCATAATTGCTTGCACACATTTATTTGTATGATTCACAAATCAGTGTTGCCATTTACTATACAAGTGGTAATTATATGAAAAATTAATTTGTCAAATGCATTAACAGTTACAACTGCAACTGGTACAAAATTTCACTGAGATCTAAAAAACTATTGAGATTTACGTTACTACGAGCTTCTAAACCGTGTAAAATAAAAGCTGGCAAAATGTATGTAATGTCAATGGAGAACTTGAGTTCGGTACGTACCGTAATGTATTATTTGTCATGAAATGTGTAACTGTCTTTGCAATATTATTTTCAGATCTTACAAGTCTCCATATCTTATTTCGCGATGCTTACGTCATTACAATAATAATTGTATAATATAGTTATATATGATAGCCTTTGTCTAAAGCACTATATAAAATATGTTCTTTAAAAAGTTGTAAATTGCCAATATCAACTTATTTTTATGTAAAATACGATCTTTTAATATAATAAATAATATAAATATACATGTATGCAAGTATTTCATTATTGCAATTATCAATAATTGACAAAATTGCTTAAAACAAATTGTGAATGGTAAATAAGTATGAGAGTGTATGTATAATATTTTCAGAGTTATTTAATAAACAAAAGATTAGAACACTGAAGTGTTGCGGAGTGCATTCTAAATCGTTAATATATAGTATATATCAATGACAAACTAAATTTTTTTGTTATAGTAATTTTATTTTGGTAGCTTTAAAAAATATTTTTCTTAAATTAAGATATTACTTCTAGTTAATATATCGAATATTTCTTGTCTAAATCGATTACATAATTCTCAGAAAATATTATTAAATTGTATTAAAATTAATTTTATTTTAAATATTATTAAATTGGTTGCATTCAAATAAAAAACAATATATTTAACAAGATGCTATAATACAATATTTTTTTTACTTCGGGATTGAAACATAAATTAAGGCTAATTCTTGCGGTAATTTACATGTATTTCTTTAATACAACTTTTTATACATTTTTGCGAACATAATTGCATACGGTAAAACTTATGTTCTTTATTTATGTCATATACAGTGTGAATTTTATAAAGTTAAAGTTTAATTTATAAAGTTAATAATAAAACTTTATAAGTTATTTTTTTAAATTTTATTTAAATTTTGAGCTCTTTTTACATACATATATATATATGTGT